AGGGGCCAAGGGCGAAGCAGGCAACAAGAAAGAGAGCATTCTGGTGCCATCTCTCCCTGTTTAAAACCCTTCTGTAGCCCCTGCAGAGTACAGTGACTTCCTGCCGCTGTCTGGACAATCACAGCTCCCTACTCATCAGCCTCCTGCTTCCAACCTCTCCCCTCCCACCAGCTAGCTTCTTCAAAAGAGGCAGAATCATTTTCACAAAACACAAATTTGGCCCTGTTTCTCCATGGATCCCGGACCTTCAATAGCTCCCTGTTGTCTTCAAGACAAAGTCTGAATTCCCTGGTTTGCTGATCAAGGCTTCCCTGAGCTGGTTTCTGTTTACCTCTCCTGTCCCATCTCTCCCCATCACCGCCCCTCTCAGAGCTCTTGAACTTTTTTTGGTTCTTTTTTTATTTTCTTTCTAGCTGATAATCAGGAAGCAGAGCTCTTGAATTTCTAAGAGTCCAACAAAACACCATTTTTTCATTTCCTCCTAGGCCTTTGCAAAGGCTACTTCCTTGGCCCGAAGCACGAGTCCCCACCCTCTCACTAGGGTCATTCATCCTCACCTCTCAGGTCTCAACTCACTTGCGCCCCGCCTCCAGGAAGTTCTCCCTGACCCTCCAGGCTGTGCCAGGAGTCTCTTCTGGCCTCTCTCCATGCCCCTGAGGTTCCCCCATCTCAGGCTCCTTCACAGTCCTGAGCACTCTGAGATGCCACTGTCTGGTGACAAGTCCATTTCCCCCACTGGACTGTGATCTCCCCATAAGCAGGGCCCCAGGCTGAGGCCCCCAGCATGTCCAGCACAGAGCTGGGCACATAATCGGTGAGCTTCACAGATAGGACTGTGTCTGATTCCTCTCTGGGTCCCCAGTTCCTGTGGCCAGCCTCGTCACACAGCAGGGGCTGGGTAAAATATGATGCATAAATTAACCAGCTGCCAGACAGGGATTCACCAGACCCGGGCTCTAGCTTCTCCCTCCTCTATATCCCAGCAACCCCGAGTTCACTCTTAGGTCTCACCCTCAGGGTCTGTTCCCCGCCAGCCCATGAAGCTCCCCAAGGCAGGATGGGATCTGACTCTCTCTGTGCCTGGAGCATGGGGCCTGCACAGAGGCGGTCTCAGTGAATGTCTGTTAAGTGAGGGAATGAGGGAATGAATGGATGAATGAGCGGGAGCAGTATGGTGGGAGAGGGAGATGGCGGGGGAGGGGGATGAGGACAAGAAGATGGAGAGGACCCAAGGATCAGGCGGGATACAGTGCTGATTTGTTGGGGTGGCGTAAGGAGGGGAGTGGCTGGAGAGATTGAGTAAAGGTTCAGACTGATTGTGGGGCGGGGGGACTGAGAGGGACTAGGATGAGGTGAAGGCGAGGGAGCAGGAGAAGAAAGGGGTCAGGCTGAGGATGGAGCCAGGTGGGGGTGGGGCTCAGGAATGAGAAAGGGGCTGTTGGGAGGAGGAGGGGGCTAGACGGGGAGGGGTGGGGGCTGGGATGAGGATGCCGAGGAAGACGCGGGGCTGGGGGCTGGCGAAGGACGCAGGGAGCCCAGCAGGCCCCCGAGGGGCCACTCGGGTGGCGCGGGTCTTTCCCTGGACCGGCCCCGCCTTCTCCCGAGCCCCGGCCCTCGGCCACTGTCATCCCCATTCAGGGCGCGGAAGGGGATGCACGCTGAGGGGGCGGGGTCGACGTGTGGGCTCCGACCCAGGACCCGCCGGCCGGGGTACGAGGAGGACCGCGACGAAGGGTGAGGGGCTGCACAGGCCTCGGGCTCGGGCGGGGCCGGGGGCGGGGCGCGCGGGGCGGGGCCGCGCGCGGACAGACTGACACGCGGACCGACGGACCGACGGCCGCACGGGTCCCTCACCACCATGGTCGCGTAGCCTCCTCAGGCCCCGGCCGCGTTCGAGCCCTCGCTCATCATCCTCGCCGCCGCCGCCGCCGCCGCCATGGCGACACAAAGGGGAGGGCGCGAGCCGCGCGCGGGCGGCTGCAGGCCCCGCCCCTAACGGCTGCCCGTGGCTCCGGCGCGCGCCCCGCGGGGGTGGAGAGTAGCGGGGACGCGGCGCCGCTTCTCATTGGCTCCACCCTTGGCCGTAGGAGGACGCCCCGCCCACCTGGCGGCTTTTCATTGGCTTCGCCTTGGGCCCCGTCCCAGGCTCCGTCTCTTCGGTCCCGCCTCCCGAAGTTTGACAGCGCCACGCCCATGCCTGCTTTTCATTGGCTGTCATTCCCTCCCTGAGACACACCCCCAGGTCCTTTATGCTTTGCCTCCAACACTCCTGACACCGAGCAAGGGACCCTCCCCTTAGTCCGCTCTCAGTGACCGCGCCTTTGACTTTCTTAATTAGATTCTCCCACGGCCTCGGGGCTTCGCTCTATTCCTCAAGCAGCTTTTCAAAGTCCCGGTCCTTTAGTCCCACCTTATTTCTGACCCTGACCCTACCCACAGAACCCTGAGGTTGCTCATTCATTGCCTCAGACACCCTGCCTGGGACATAGCCCAAGGCTCTCTGCAGCTTGGCCTGGCCCTACCCATTGGACAATTTTTTTTTCTTTCCTTATCTCATTCTTTTTTTTTTTTTTTTTGAGACAGGGTCTCATTCTGTTGCCCCGACTAGAGTGCAGTGGTGTCACCCTAGCTCAGTGCAACCTCCAACTCCTGAGCTCGAGCGATCCTCCTGCCTCAGCCTCCCGAGTAGCTGGGACTACAGGCCCGCGCCACCACACCCAGCTAATTTATAAAGTTTTGTAGAGACTGTGTGTCGCTATGTTGTCCAGGCTGGTCTTGTACTCCTGGTCTCAAGCCATCCTCCCATGTTGGCTTCCCAAAGTGCTAGGATTACAGGCATGATCCATCGCACCAGTCCTTACACATTTTGTCTCCTCTTCTATTGCCTGTTACAGGCCGGCCTCCAGTCTTGACTCTTTTTTTCCTAGGGATAGGTTTTGCCCACAATGCCAGAACGTTGTCATGCTTTGCATAAAGCCAATCCAAAATCGTCCTGCCACTGACTGAGTGTGCTCAGAAAACACCATAACAACACCCTTTCCAAAAGCACTCTCTTCATTGGTCATACCCTCAACAAGGTCCTCACCTCAGCGGGTACCTATGCACTTGGTTCATTCATTCATTCATTCAAAAACTCTGATCACTTAATTAGTGGATATGTCAATAACCAAAACAGGGAAAAATATACCCTACTCTCAATGGAGCTCAAAAGCTATGGGGAGAAGATAGACAATGAACAAAAGGCATATTTAAAAATATAGAATATTAGAAAGTGATCAGCTCTATGGAGAAAATATTAAGCAGAGGTTGGGGAAAGGGAGTGCTGGGGGAGGGGTAAATGTACAGTTACTTATTTCAACTTATTGAACCTGCTGACCCCACTCTGGTGGCAGGGATTTCCCACATGATGTTCCCTCTGCCTGGAGATTTCCCCCATCACCCCTGCTGTCGTTTTAAAACGCGGCTGCAAATTTGTTGACACTCCTCTCATCAAGAGGTGGAGTCTATGCCTGCTTCCCATGACTCTGGGCCGGATTCAACCAATAGTGAATAGTAGAATTGGCACTATGTGATTTCCTAGGCTAGGTGATAAAAGGCAATGTAGCTTTTTTGTTTTGTTTTTGTTTTTTTCTCAAGACAGATTCTCACTTTGTTGTCCAAGCTAGAGTGAGTGCCATGGCGTCAGCCTAGCTCACAGCAACCTCAAACTCCTGGGCTCAAGCAATCTTCCTGCCTCAGCCTTCCAAGTAGCTGGGTCTACAGGCATGCGCCACCATACCCGGCTAATTTTTTCTATATATATTAGTTGGCCAATTAATTTCTTTCTATTTATAGTAGAGACGGGGTCCCGCTCTTGCTCAGGCTGGTTTCGAACTCCTAACCTTGAGCAATCCACCCACCTCAGCCTCCCAGAGTGCTAGGATTACAGGCGTGGGCCACCGTGCCCGGCCACAATGTAGCTTCTCGTCCAGTGTTCTTCTTGCCCTCTGGAATGACTAGCTATAGAGCCAAGAGGCATCACGTGGGAACTGTGCCTATGTTGAGGCAGCCATGCTTCAAGGAAGCCCAAGCTAATGGAGGCATGTATGGACATTACAGTCAACAGCTCTTGCCCAGCCTTTGAGTCATCTCAGCCCTGGTGCCAGAATGTGAGTGACCAAGTTCTGGAGGATTCTACCTCATAGCTGTTGTCACCTTTGAGTCTTCCCCCAGACATCATGGAGCACAGATGAATTATCCCCAACTACGCCCTGTCCAAATTTCTGACTCACAGAATTCATAAGCATAATACGATAATTGTTTTGTGCCACTAAATTCTGGGGGGAGTTTGTTATCCAGTAATAGTAATGAGGATGGCCCCTTGTCAACTAGATAATTTCTCCTGTCCCAGCTAAAGTGTAACTTCCACGGGAATCCTTCTGGACCCCACCCATGCCCCAACTAGATCTGGTTCTGCTGTTATGAACATCTTTCATTTCTCCTTGTATCTAAACAGCTATTCCCTTCTTGTTGATTTCATTTAAATGGTTTGTTCAAAAGGCTGAAAACAAATATTTACCATATCTGTGACATAAAACCTAAAAACCTATCTTATCCCTTCTTTTTGATAAAGATATCAAAACAATCCTGAATATATATTTGCCATCATTTTTTTTTTTTTTTTTTTTTGAGACAGAGTCTCACTTTGTTGCCCAGGCTAGAGTGAGTGCCGTGGCATTAGCCTAGCTCACAGCAACCTCAAACTCCTGGGCTCAAGCAATCCTTCTGCCTCAGCCTCCCAACTAGCTGGGACTACAGGCATGCGCCACCATGCCCGGCTAATTTTTTCTATATATATATTAGTTGGCCAATTAATTTCTTTCTATTTATGGTAGAGACGGGGTCTTGCTCTTGCTCAGGCTGGTTTCGAACTCCTGACCTTGAACAATCCGCCCGCCTCGGCCTCCCAGAGTGCTAGGATTACAGGCGTGAGCCACCGCGCCCGGCCTATTTGCCATCATTTATTATGAAAAGTTTCTAACATACAGCAAAGTTAAAAAATTTTACAATAGACACCCATATATCTACCACTTAGATCCTACTATTAACATTTTACTATATTAGCTTTATCTCATCCCTACCTATTACTCTATTCATCCATCAACCCAACTAATCTTGGGTGCATTTCAACATAAACTACAGCTATTAATGTGCTGTCTTCTAAATATTTCAGTGTGCATATCTTTAATTAGAGTTCAATATTTATTTCTCTTTTGAGGTAAACTTTACATACAATGAAATTCACAAATTTCACTGAGTTTGATAAATAAATATACCTTTGTAACCCAAACCCCTCCCTAGCATGGCAACTGATTTTTTTGCATAGACTCTAAAGCAAATGTCAGACAGAGAGAAAGAGAGAGAGAGAAAGGAGACCAGGCAGACTGTGTCATCTTTTCTAACTGAATGTTGGAAGTTAAGCTGAACCACTTTCTCTGCATTCTATTTGCTGAGGGGCCCAATTTCCAGAGGAAGGGACATAACCTCTTCCTCTTGATGGTAAGTGTATTAAAGAATATGCAGATATGTTTACAGGAACAGTAAATTTTTCAATAGTCCAGATGGGAGGTGGTGATAGCCTAGACCAAGGTGAGGGCAGTGGAGGTAGGTGGAGTTGAATTCTGGACAAATGTGAAAGGTAGAGATGGCAGGATTTGCTGGCCAACTCACTGTGGGTGGGAGGGAAGACAGAAGTCAAAGGCCATAAAGGCTTTTGGCCTAAGCAGCAAAGGATGGTGCTGAAGAAAGTGGGGGAGAAGCAAGTTTAGAGGGGAGATTGGGAGCTCAGTTTGGGACCTATAGAATTTGGGACAACTCTTAGACTTTTGGGTGGAGATGGTGATGATGTAGGAGCCCACGGTTTAATGGCCAGGTCTAGGCTAGTGATAGAAATTTGGGCTCTATCGGAAGACAGACGAGATTCAGAGTCATTAAGACAGACAAGAGCACCTGGGCACGTGTGTAGATAGAGAAGGCAAAGCCAGGGCCCTGCCACAGGCCACAGTTGACATGCTGGGGCAATCACCAAAGAGGTAGGGAGAGGTGTTCTGGAAGCAGGAGAAGAAAGTGCTTCAGAGGAGAGAACAGCTGCATCAAATGCTGCTGTGGCACAGTAGGATGTGGACAAGGACTGACCATTGTCCCACACTCTGATGACTCTAGTAGCTTCATGCCCAGAGGACAGTCCCTTTGGTCCCACCTGAGAGAGGACTCCTGAGTTGAGAGTCAGAGAAGGTGGGTCCTAGTCTTGCTTGAAGTCTTGCCTGGAACCCTTACTCTCCCAAGCCCCAAGGAGGATAAGATCAGAAAAGAAATTTTTCTTCAGTGGTCAGGAAAGAGCCACAGCAGGGAGGGGAGGCATTCCTTAAAATGGCATGACCCTTGGCCATTCCAGAACAGCCCTTTTCTCAGAGATAACCTGTAATCTGAAAAACATGTTTCATCGGATAAAAGAGAGTTTGTACAATTCAAAGTCGTCTGGTCTCCAGGGAGGCTCCTTCCCTTCGCAGCAGCCTCCTTGGGGACCTAGGGGGCGACCTGGCTGGAGGGGACCGAGATCCCGGGTCTTCCACAGGGTTCAGCAGGAAGGATAATCGGGCATCCACTTTCCTGGAGAAAAGTCGGGAGAGCAGAGGCTGGGGTCTGTGCTCAGAATGAGGGTCTAGAGCTGTGGACAGGGCTCTGGGGAAGGGGTCCAGGAGGGGTGGGCACCTAACGGGGGCCTCAGAGGATTCAGGGGCCCAGTATGGTAGATCCTCACCTTTTCTCCCGACGCAGCGCTGCCCTCTGGGCCCTTAGCACCTGCAGCACAGGGTCGTCCTGGAACTCACTGCCATCAGAGTCTAGGGAGAAATGAATGAGCTTAAGGGGACCGAACTCTTAGGAAGCGGACCCCCCACTGAGATCGGAAAGGCTCCAGCACGCAGCTCACCTTCAGCAGCCTCCAGAAGTCCGGTGGCCTGGGACAGCAAGTCCTCTGAGGGGGCGTGGTCAGCAGCCGATGGGGGCGTGGCCTCAGCTGGAGGGGGTGGGGCCTCGGGCTGCCGATGCCCCGCTTCAGGGGAAGGAGTGGCTTTGCTCCTCCAAAGCACTGACACCGCTGGGGGTGACACAGCCTTGGCTTTACAATGACACTGTGATTCAGATAAAGGGGGCGTGACCTCTGAGAGAGGAGGCATAACATTGGTTTGGGGGTGTATGGCCTTGGCTTTCTGCGGTTTAGCCTTGGGTCGAGGTGGGCCCTCCAGGCGAGGGGGCGTGTCTTCCAGGCTGTCAGGGAACAGCCGAGCTGTCACTACCTGGCCCAGAGCGCCCCTGAGCTGCCCGCCAGGACTCTCCCCAGCTGTAGCGACTTGCTCAACAGCCTCTCGCTGGGCCCTCCGAGGCTTGGGGCCCAGTCTCTTGGGCTGGGCAGAGCTGCTTGGCTCAGGGGTGGGTGGGCTCTGGAGGGCGGCAGGGGTTGTAAGGATAGAGGCCAAGGGAGCTGAGGTGGAGGCCGGGGGCACCTGGGTAGAGGCTAGGGGCGCCGGGGTGGAGGCCGGGGGCACCTGGGTGGAGGCCAGGGGCACTGGGGTGGAGGCTTGGGGTGCCGGGGTAGAGGCCGGGGGCGCTGGGATGGAGGCTGGGGGCACTGGTATGGAGGCCAGGGGCACTGGTATGGAGGCCAGGGGCACTGGGGTGGAGGCTTGGGGTGCCGGGGTAGAGGCCGGGGGTGCTGGGATGGAGGCCACGGGCACTGGTATGGAGGCCAGGGGCACCGGGATGGAGGCTGGGGGTGCTGGGGTGGAGGCTGGCTGCGTGGGAGGAACAGCCCCAAGAGATACCCAGGGACTGGACTGTGGGGCCCAGAAGAATCCATGGGGGCTGGGGGCCCAGTAGAAGTATGGAGAAGACACTGGGGGAAAAGGAGGCCTCTCTGCATAGAAGGCCTCTGGGGGACCAGGCCGGGCTAGACCACCCCACAGTGGGAAGCAGTTAGGCTGAGTTCCCAGAGAACCAAGGGTCTCCACGGGGGCACAGGAAGTCTGTGGACAGATAGGAGGAGAGATCTGAGAGGGAGAGAAAGTGGGTAGAGGGTCCGCAGTCCCCCTCAGACCGCCGCTTCCTCCCACTCCCCTCAGGCTCCTCCCTCCCAGCTCACCTGAGTAGTGAGGGCAGGGGTCCGGGACGGCACCCAGCTTCCGTCACCCTGGCCTCCTCGAGCCTGTTCAAGCTTCCGAGCCTGTTCAAGCTTCCGCCGCTGCCGCCACTGGTACAGGATGTCATCCTCTGGCCGAAGGGGTGCCCGGGAAGAGGCTGAGGCTGGAGCTGGAGCAGGGGTGGGGGCCGGGGCTGCTGTGGGGGAAGTTGAGGGAACAGGGGTGAGGCAGGGATGGGGTGACCAGCCTGCACACACCCACTTGCACTGTCCCAGAGGGTTTTCCAGACAGGCTCTCTAGACAAGGGGCCAACTCCTCTCTGGAGTGGGCAGTGGGGAAGGGGACAAAGTCCAAGGAGAAGGTATTCCTGGTCTTCTCGATCTGTTGTCATTTAATTCTCCGTTCACTGAACAAATGTCTATGGAGCTCTTACTAGGTGCCAGGCACTGTTCTGGACATTGGGGTTACAGCAGCGAACAAGACAGAGGCTCCAGAATCTGCCCACCCCACCCCTCCAACGGCCCTCACCCCACTCCACTCACCCCACTCACCCCACCTGAGCCTCCTTCCTGGCCTCCCTATTCTCCTGTCCTTCCAATCTGTTCCCCACTCTGAGCCAGAGGGAGCCTGTGAATACCTGAGTCAGATCAGGGCCCTCGGGGTGAGAGTCCCTCCCTGGCTGCACCTCTCTCCTGGCAAAAAGGCACCCACAGTCCCCTCTGCCTGGAACGCTCTTCCGTCCTGTATCACAAGGCGCATTCTCTCACATCCTTCAGACTTGCACAAATGTCACCTGGGGAGTGAGGCCTTCCCCGGCTACCCTATTCAAAATGGCAACAGCCCCCAGTCCTACTATTCCCTATCCTCTGTCCTGTTTCCTTCTTCACCTAGTAGTCACCACTTTCTTCCTTCCTTTTTTTTTAAGGCTGGTCAAGGGAAGCAGTGGGCGTGGCTTGGTCTGCCGTGGAATCCCCAATCCTGCTCACAGGGCCTCATAAACAGTAGGACTCAAATGTTTGGTAAATGAATGAATGAAAAAATTTAAAGCCAGGCGTGGTGGCTCACGTCTGTAATCTCAGCACTTTGGGAGGCTGAGGCAGGAGGATTGCTTGAGGCCAGGAGTTCAAGAACAGTCTGGGCAACATAGCAAGACCCTCTTTCTATAAAAAATAAAAATCATTACCCAGGCATGGGAGTGAGTGCCTATAGTCCTAGCTACTCAGAAGGCTGAGATTGGAGGATCACCTGAGCCCAGGAGTTCAGGGCCACAGTGATCTATGATTGGGCCACTGTACTCCAGCCTGGGTGACAGAGTGAGACTCTGTCACTATTTTAAAAAGGAAGGAAGGAAGGGAGGGAGGGAAGAGAAGGGAGGGAGGGAAGAAGGGAGGGAGGGAAAGAAAGAAAGACAAAATTTAACTGCCAAATAACCCATGAACTAATTTCATCACCACTTTACCAGTTGGAAAACTGAGGCTCAGAAGGAAGAGGTGAATAGAGGTGAAGCTTGAAAAGACTGAAGAATCAGACAAGAGAGTCCTTGGGCAGACCATACAACACGCCAGGACACCTTTCTTTTTTTTTTGACAGAGTCTCGCTTTGTTGCCAGGCTAGAGTGGTGCCGTGGCGTCAGCCTAGCTCACAGCAACCTCAACTCCTGGGTCAAGCATCCTCTGCCTCAGCCTCCCGAGTAGCGGACTACAGGGCATGCGCCACCATGCCCAGCTAATTTTTCTATATACAATTAATTTCTTTCTATTTTTAGTAGAGACGGGGTCTCGCTCAGGCTGGTTTTGAACTCCTACCTCGAGCAATCTGCCTGCCTCAGCCTCCCAGAGAGCTAGGATTACAGGCGTGAGCAACCTCGCCAGGCCCTCTCTGTTTTCTTGAGCTTGCCTGTCCTCACCCATGGGTGCCCTGTGAGACCTGGATAGCATCTGTCTCGTGCACCACTGCAGTCCAGGACCTGGGCACAGAGTAATAGTAACTACAGCAGTAAAAATAACCCAGGTCCTTACCCCCATCTCTGAAATCTTGAGAATCCAACAGTTTGATGTTTTAGCAAACTCACACAGCATGTACAGCATCGACATGAGTCTGGGCAGGACGCCAGACTCAAACACATTGATGTTTAGCTGAATCATATGAAACTGCCAAAGCTGGACCATTTTTCACTTACAGAACCAAAAATTTCATATGGTTCAACATAATATATACATGGCAGAAAGTGTGACTATTCGCCTTAAATGAGATCAACATATATTACAAATAGCCTCATGTTCTGTAGGTCAGGTTTTGCTGTCAAATCAGGGTGATGCCAAATTTGTAAAAACCTCTTGAGTCTAAAGCTTTGTGTTCAGAATTGCAGAGAGGATGGCAGACTGGTCATACTCATGATAGCTACTGTTAACAGACCCGTGCTAGGTGCTGCCTATGTATTCACTGACTCATTTAATCCTCACAACACCCACAGGAGAGGAATACAATTATTAACTCTGTGTTACAGTTGGGGAAGCAAAGTCCAGAGAGGCCCAAAGTCACCCAGCTGGTGGGTGGCAGGGCTGCCCTCAATCCTCGCCTCCCACCACTTACCGGGTGCCGTGGGGCCAGAGCCCTCGTTGGAGTCGGGGATGAAGTTCATGGAGAAGGGAGAAAGGCCATCGGAGCTGACGGGGAATGAGGAGGTGCTGGCGTCGCTGGGGCTGAGGGAGGAGGAGGAGATGGAAGCCTTGCTGCAGGGAGAAGGTGGAAGTGAGGCAGTGGAGGTCGCAGAGGCAGTGGGCCACCCGGAGCGACAGGAGTGGGCGGGATGACGGGGGAGTGGAGGCACCTGCGTTTGAGCAGCCTGGCAGCTCTGCTCTGTAGGCTCAGCGTCTCCAGGTCCAGCAGAGATGAGTTCCATGTGTTGAGGTTCTGCAGGGTGAGAGGGTCAGAGGTCAGCCCCCACGCAAAGGCTGCTGGGAAAGGGGCTCTGGACAGAGGACCTGGAGTGCAGGTCTGTGCCCTACCTGGTACCCTCACATGCCAGCTTAGAATCTGCTCCTTCTCCTCAGGGAAGAGACCCAGTTTTCCTCTTCAGAAACAGCTTTTATGTGCAAATACTGTTGTTGGAGGAAGATAGATCCCACCTTCCTGACCAGAGTTGACTAATCAAACATTCTATCCTCTGGCTCACAATGATTGGCTCCAGGATGAGCGAATGAGAGTGAGCCCTGGGGCTTTGGATGGAGCTATTGGAAAAGTCCCCACTTTCCTCTGGAGTAGCTGAATTAGTATCATGGGAGCCTACAGCCACTGGGGGACATCTTGGCTACTGTGAGGGGAAAGCCGGCCTGAGATTGAGACCAGCAAAGAGGAACACAGAGCCGAGAGAGTTGGGTTTCTCCCAACAATGTTCAAACACCTGGATCCAGCCATGCCTGAAAGCATCCACTCCTCGATTTCTCAATTACATTAGATAACAAATCTTCCCTTTCTATTTAAGCTTCCTTGAATTGGGGATCAGCTCTAATTCTATCACAGGGCTGGTGCTGTCAGTTCAGGCACACAAGGGAGGGAGTGTTTTGGGGATGTCACCTGCTTTATTTCCTGAAGGGGAGCTGCAGCCCGAGATACACTGGCCATCTTGGCAGGATTCAGGTCTGCTGTACAGTGTCTTCCTTCTGGTTCCTTGGCTTCTGCCAAGAAGCCCAATTAAGTTATGAGGGCCAGGAGGAGTGGTTGCTGGGGACATTGATCAGGAAAGGTTTTAGGCTGGAGGGGTGTGGGGTGGGGACTGAAGGAGGTACCTGCTACAAGTTGACTGCTGGGTTTTGGAGACTCAGGTCGCAGCCACCAGAAGTCAGCTGGGGTTGGGCCTGCAGGCTGACGTTCCTCTCGGCTCGTGGGCTGAGCCTGGCGGAACCTGTTTATGTACCTATGAACATCAGGGCCTGGGAGGTGAGTGGAGTGAGAAGACACAAATAATAACAATAATAACCACAATAGGCAATGTTTATCAAGCACCATGGCAGAGCCTGTAGCTGTTTTCCTTCAAGTTGGTTTCCTTTCTTATACAGTAATGTAACTTTTAGCTGGGCACATAGCCACTCTTCTATAGACCACATTTACCAGGTGCCATGGGGGCTTGTGGCCACGTGACTAGGTTCTTGATAAACAGGGTGTGAGGAGATATGATTCTGGAAAATTGATGTGGTTGAGTGCCATTTTGGTCCATGAAGGAAAGAACAATACCTAAGGATGGGACTGCAACAAGACAGAAAGAACCTGTGCCTCTGACACCTCAACTAGGGGCCCCCCTATGAGCCCTGGTTGCTTCTGCCTGTACTATAGGTGAGGGAGAAATAAATGCTATCTTGTTTAAGCCACAATTAACAAGGGACTCTTGACTACAGCAGCTGAGCCTGTATCCTACAAATCTAAGTGCTCACTACATGAAAGGCATTGTTAGAGATCATTATATATGGTGATTCAGTGAAAGTTCAGAACAGCCCTAGGGAATGTGTTGCTATTAATACCCTCAATTTAGAGATCAAGAAACTGAGGCCAAGAGCATACAGAGAGTAAGTAGAAGAGCTGGGATTTGAACTCAGGCAGTGTAGCTCCGGAGCTCTTAATCACACACATGAAGTGCCTGGTCCTAAAAGAGTGCTGCATAAACAGCTCTGGCCGGGATGAGTATTACGGCTTGCCTTCTCTTTCCCTATAACCCAAACTCTCCTTTCCCCCCAGGACGACTGGTACTTACTTGGCCACCACAGAGTCCCCGCTGTCAATCAGAGGGGGTGGCGTGGAGGCTCCCGTGTGTCCCTCAGTGGTGCTGGGTGGGGAAGGGGTCCCTGAACTGGATGGCCAGGAGTCCTCAAACAGCTCAGGGGAGTTGGGACCTGCAGCTAGAGCCTTGGGAGCTTGTGGGAGCCTGGATCTCTGGGACCTGGATGGGCTCAGGGTCTAGGACAGGGGAGAGCACAAGAAGAAAAAGTGAGGTCCGAGGGGTCATTCCTTTTGGGGAACAAAGACACATGTGAAGCCTCAGTCCAGAGGAGAGAAAACACATTCCACAATGGCCAACAATCTAGAGTGAGTGGAGCTGTGACAGGAATCCAGGTGGTAGAGATCACACGTCTTCTTACCCTTTAGTGGCCACTCCCTGGCTACTGGGCTGATGCTTAGCACTCTGTGTGGGATGTCCTCACCTTGGAGCACCAGCTGTGGCTTCCACCCAGGGGAGCATCTCCAAAGGGACCGTCTGGGATGGAGAAAACTGGCAGGCTGCAAGGGGGAAATGGGGATGGCAGGCAGAGCATGATCACTACAACCCTGGGGAGGGGACTGGAAAGGAGGGCAGAATCAGACAATTCCCGTGATTCCCCATGAAGCGCCGCTGCACATTCAAGACAAGGATGGTGGAAGCGCGGTTCCCGTGAGCCCTTGGAGCAGTCTTAACAGGGGAGAACCCAGGAACTGGTAGCCGGTGGTTCTCAACCCTGAATACAGCCTAGAAGGGGCCTTTTAAAGTTACAGGTGCGTGGCTCCCACCCCACACCAACAGAATCAGAATATCTGGAAGGGGGCTAGGCCTCCGCAGCTTTCCTAGCGTCCCAGGCGATTCAGAAGTGGAGCTCAAGAACCGCGACTGGACGCTATCACCGTACGCTTCCCACACACCCTTGGGGACATCAGAAGCGCAGATGGATTACAATCTCCACGATTCCCTGGACTCCGCCTAAGCAAGAAAGTTCAAAGACAACACCCATAGGTGTCTGGGGGCAATTCCCAACTTGCCCTTGAACGTCTTTAGAGGAAATAATCCCTTGGAGCCACTCAGAGCGGAACACAGACGCTCGGGGGACCCCGGATGGTGGATTCTGAGGCTGGAGCGGCCAAAGCCCGCGGGGCATCTTGGGAGTTGTAGTTCCAGGGAAGTTGAGCCCGAGGGACTCCGGACTCGAGCAAACTGGTCCCTAGGCTGTGCTGCTCTCACCCTTGGTCCTCCCCGAGCCCTCCAGTGGTCCCTGAAAGCGGGAGCGGCCTCACCTTGGGTCCATCCCGCAGCTACCCCGGCACTTCCGCCTGCTCTGCTCGCTCACCGGACAGACCCCGCGCGCATCCCTGTCGCTTAGCAATGCTCTGTCGGCCCGCCCCCATCTGGGCGTGCCCGCAAAGGAGGGAGCGGGCCAAGACGACCAATAACAGAAGGGAAAATAAAAGTAACCGTAAAGTGGCCAAAGGGAGTTGTCTCAGGACTGGTGGTAACGCCTGCCCGCCCGACAGAGCGCGTTGACTGGAGAACCTGTAGCAGCAGCCATGATTGGCAAGGGCGCGGACCAATGGGAAGGATCCGAGGCTGGGTTCGCGGTCAGAAGGTGACTGAAGCTCCCTTGCTTTCCCTCAGAGTCGCTTTCCTCACAGTCTCCTTCTTGCCGCGGCGGTTTCTTCCCGACTCCATCTAACCACTCTCCTTTCTGGTGCGCGGGCGACGGGGGAGTCCATTCCCTCTCTAGCCGCCATCCCGCCATCGGCCGGGCCAGTCCGCCGTCCCGACGGTCGTCTAACCGCCCGTGCCCTCCTGCTGCCGAGCAGCTGGTCGCGCCGGCTGCCAAGCCCGGGCTCCTGGCCCAGGTAGCGGGATCAAAATAAGCTATTTCGGGCTGCAGCGCGGCCCCGGGGCCGGCCTGGACTGTCCGTGCTCGTGCCCCCTGGCCGCCGCGCGCCCCAGGCTGAGTCAGAGGCACAGAATTAGGCCCGGCCGCGGGGGCCTGGGCCCGAGGGCTGGCCGAGGGTGAGCGTGGGGTCTGTTTTGTGTCCTGCGGGCAGCCTGGCCCGGCCCCCGCATTTTCCAGGGATCTGCTCCTAAGCCCTCCGCCTGCGTCATCCTCGGAGCGGCCCGGGCGGCGGGCGTGGATTAAGGGGCCTGGAAATTCCTCACTGGGCCTCGGGGCCCAGCTGCCGCGCTGCGCTCCCCACACCCGCAAGACTCTGCCCCCTCGACCTTCGTTTCCCCTTCAGGAAACGGGGGGATCTGAACGACACCTTCCTGGCAGACTCTGCCACGCATCCAGCAGGCGCTTAATAAATGGCCAAGTCATTGTTGGGGTTTCTATATAAGGCTCTATTAATGGCCGGGCCTGGCCACCGTCCCGGTGTCCCCGGGCGGCCCTCCGAGGGGCCGGCACAGGGCGCACTATAAATCGGCGTCCGCGCAGGCAGGGGCACTGCAGCGCCCAGGACCGCAGCGGCGGAGCGATGGAGATCCCGGTGCCCGTGCAGCCGTCCTGGCTGCGCCGAGCCTCCGCCCCGGTGCCCGGAGTTGCGGCGCCCGGACGCCTCTTTGACCAGCGCTTTGGCGAGGGGCTGCTCGAGGCCGAGCTGGCTGCGCTCTGCCCCACCTCTCTCGCCCCCTACTACCTGCGTGCGCCCAGCGTGGCGCTGCCCGTCGCCCAGGTGCAGGCCTGGGGGAGGGGCTCACTCCACCGCTTCCAGGGCTGGGGGTCGTGGTCGGCCTGAGGAGGGTGAGGGAATGTCCGCTGACCGTCAGCAGGGTGGACAGTCCGGCCACGTAGAGGGGCTTGCGGAGTTCCTGAGTTTGGAATCTCAGAGGCTGAATTCGGTGGGAAGACCCCGTCGCGCTGGGGGAAGGTGGGGTGGGTTGTGGGGGGGTCTCATTAGCAGGTGGGGGGAGTAAAAGGGCTGAGTCACTGATAGGGTGGGGGTGGTCACTCTGAGGGGAAGCCTTGGTGACTCTGAAGGAGGCTGGTGACCCAGGGAATTTTGAAAAAGGTGGTGGGGTTGCAACGTTGTTTGTCTTGGAGGAGAGATCGGAGACTATACGTGGCGAACCGAAGTCTCCCGGAGTGGTGGAGAGGGGGAAGGGTCCTGCGACTTGAGGAAGGGGGCCTGGCCACTCTGAAGTGGAGGCAGGGAACTGGCAACTGCTGAGAGCGCAGGAGCTCCCGGGACACGAGTGGGAGGGTAAAAGGAGGACCGATTCTATAGACTGGGGGGATGAGCTCCTTGGCGACTTCTGGCGGGGGCGAGGATAAGGGCCCCAGGGGCTCAGAGGGGAAGGGAGCTGGGGAATGCATCAGTGTCCTAGGGGTACAGTGACCGTGGAGTCCTTGACACTGGGGGAGGGAGTGGACAGGCCTCCTTCGCCCTGTGGGGCGGAGGTCCCGGACCTTGCAGGGGAAGGGGCCCTCATCACTCTGGGTGAGAGGAGCATCCCAGTTATTCTGGGCGAAGAGGTCTTCAGTGACAGCGAGTACGAAAGAGGACTCAGCACTGGGTCCCAGGAGCCTCAACCCACCAGATGACAGCCCCGCCCCGCCCCGGCTGTGCGCAGGTGCCGACGGACCCCGGGCATTTCTCGGTGCTGCTGGACGTGAAGCACTTCTCCCCCGAGGAAATAGCTGTCAAGGTGGTTGGCGAACACGTGGAAGTGCATGCGCGCCACGAGGAGCGCCCGGTGAGCCAGCAGATGGGGGCGGGGCCGGCCCGGCCGGAGGGGCGGGGCGCTACGGAAGGGGGCGGGGCCGCTCACGCCTCTTCCCTGCAGGACGAGCACGGATTCGTCTCGCGCGAGTTCCACCGCCGCTACCGCCTGCCGCCTGGCGTGGATCCGGCTGCCGTAACGTCCGCGCTGTCCCCCGAGGGCGTCCTGTCCATCCAGGCCTCACCAGCGTCCGCCCAGGCCCCACAGCCACCACCGGCTGTCGCCAAGTAGGGGTTTGGGAGCTCCTGAACCCTGGGAGCCGCCCTGGGCTCCCTCTTTTAGAGCCGATCTGACTCCACCCAGCCAGATGTCCCGAGCGCGCCAAAGCCTTCCTCCTACCCCATCCTGGACAGTGCCCTGACCCTTCACTCTAGACCCTGCCTTGATAACCTACCCTTCCACAGACACCCCCGCTTCCACACCCCTTCCAGCTTTCGGACCCCACCCCGACACCTCCAAAGCTTCCAGATCCTACAAGCACTACCCTAACCCTCAGCCTAGTCTCTCATCCCCGCCCACCCTACTTTCTTGGCATATGTCCCCACTCGAGATCCCCTCCTCTACTTCCTTCTCACTTCTCTATGAGGACATCCCCACACACCATTTCCATCCCCTTCCCCCCACTTTGACACCAGATTATGGTGTAGACAGCCCTGCCCCAACCCTAGGCCAGTCAGGCATAATCCCCCCACACCCAAATGTCCTGGACTACACACACCTCCCACTCCAGACCGCCCGTGCCTGGTTCCCAAGACTCTGGGTCCTTCCCCTGTAACCAGACAATCCACTTCCCCCCACCCCATTTTCTGACTTGAAACCCCAGCCAGCCACCCCAGACTCTTGAACCCTTTTCTGACTCCCCACCCTTGGACACCTATGCCAGGCCAACCAGAACCCTCAGCCTCAAACTGTACAGATACCCTCCCAATTCCCCCCAACTCTGCACAGATGTCCCAGGCCCCCTCCCCAACTCTAAGCAGAACCCCCCAGTCCCTTTGTCCTGACCAAGTCTCCAACCAGATATCCTTGGCAACCCTCCTTCCACACTCCTCTAAGACCCAATCTAGAACCACTCTCTGATTCCCCAGAACCTTTCTCTCTGAATTCCCCGCCACCCCATCCCCCACTCTTACCTAGGCTCACTGCCCCAATAAACGTGCTAGAGCTGTGCCAACCGCTTTATGTCTGGGCCGGGAAGTATGAGGCTGGAGCAGGGCCAGTGTGGAGTCAGGGGATGTTTATTGGGGTGGGGGGACCTGGGAGCATCACTGTCGCTCGTACATCTCCCGTAGAATCTTCATGCTCTCTGAGTAACGAAGCTGGTTCCGATGAGACGCCTCCTTCCACCTGGGGAGGTAGACGGACGACTAAGCAATTGCAAGGGTCCATGGGGGAGTGGTGGGGGGGAACCAGGTTGGGGGACACTCACCTCTGGCGGATGCGTTTCCAACGCTGCATGTTTCGATAGATGAGTGTGGAGGGTGAAGGTTCGGGCTCGGAGGGCTGTGTGGACAGAGGCCAGGCTAAGTACCCATGTCCAGGCCCCATGACATATGCCCGTAACCCCAGGCCAGCCTTGCATACCCACCTCATCATCGGGGGTGCCCTGGGTCTCAGGCTGTAGCGGGGATGGAATGCGGGATCTGCAGGCATCTCCAGGTGGCCCGGGGGCTGTGGGTGGAGGCAGCTTGTACACATCACGACTCTTGCTGCTGGTGACCTCTGAACCCTAGGGACACAAGGGCCCCATTACCAGGCCCAAAAGAGTTAGAGCAGAGAGCTGGGAATGATACAAATTTTATCCCCCGTGCCTTTCCCAGCAACAAAAGACATGAGAGTCTTGCCAAGGAACCTGTGCTTAGAGGAGTCAAGTGTGAAGGGCAGACACCTTAACCAGCCTGGGGGCAGGGCTGGTAAGCCTGTCTTCTGTCCAGCCCAGGCTTCCTCATCTACACCTGTCCAGGGAGTCATGTCTAGGAGGTCCCATCTGTGTCACTTAGGGACCCCTGTCCACTCTTGATAGTTCCAAGAATCATATATGTCTGTCCTGGGGACCCTTGTCTACGCTCCCAAGGCGAGATGGCTTACAGATCCCCTGCCCAATCCAGGGGGTCTCCATCTGCTCCCCCAACCAGGTGGCCACAATTGTCTGCATCAAGGAGCCCTGCTGTTGGAAGTCAGTCTGTCTGCCCAGGGCCACCCTGCTCCCTCTCCCCCAAGGCTAGGTAGCCACGCATGTCTGCCCTAGGCACCTCCATCCATACCCTCGGCCTAAGGGTGCACATCTGTGTGCTTCCTCTGATCCAGGATTCATTTAAGGGACACAGAGACCTGTGCCTGTCTACACTGTCCCACTAGCTTGGAGGGAGGGTCCCTTGAGCCTGTCCCATTGTCCCCTCTGTCGGCTGGGCTGGGGCCCAGCACTCGTCCCACCTCCTCATCCTCGGGCAGCGGGGGCAGCGGTGAGCTGGGTGAGCACTCGCGCTCGCGCACTGTGGGGCTGTTGCGCATCCAGGCACGGCAGATCGGATACAGGGGTGTGTTCTCGCTGAACTGGGCCAGGTCCACGCTCCGGTCAAACAGCTTGATCACATATGAGTCTGGGGGCGTGGAGGTGGGAGGTATGTGAGTATCTTCATGTAACCCCCTGGCTCCTTGCTCACCTCGAGGGCCACTGTGTACTCACTGGATCTCTGTGGCCCTCCTTCGGCCAGCCCATCATCCATCTCCCTCCTCTTCTTCCTCCGCTGGTGGGGGAAGCGGGCAGATGGCCTGTGTGGGGACGGGGAGTGTGAGCACCGGGGGTGGTGGGAACCTCTGGTCCCTTGGCCAGAGCCCCTGCTGCCTTACCTCTTGCCAGTGGCTGCGATGGAGCAATCCCTGTGGGCAGAGACAGGGCGTGATGTGAGCAGGCTGACCCTGGCAAATGCCTGCTCAATCCCCCCAGAGGGCACCCTGGGGACCCTGGGATCAAGCCTGAGATGTTTACATGAGCCCACCTACTCCTTAGACCTTGTCCCGCCTACCTGCCCCCCTAGGGCTCTAGGTATCCACCATGAGGGGACCTAAGCTTCTTCTGCCACAGGGTCTTTGCATATGTGGAGTGGTCAGGACGGTGGCAGCACAGGGCAGAGGGGTCAGGGCTCGGACAAGGGAAGCATTCACCCACTGCAAACTCTCAGATCCAGATCCAACCACAGAGACTTACTTATTGTGGGTGTCTGAGGGGGTCTTCCCGGCCTCTTCATCCAGACGCTCCCTGGTAGCAAAAGAGACTGTTGGCTCAGGGTTCCAAGGGCCCATAGTGGGAAGGCGTTGGGCGGCCCCCCCAGTAGGCACCTTCCTCCCCAGGGCAGCCTCTGAGGTCCCACCCAGATCTGCCCAGGATCAGAGAGTCCGACCTGCCAGGGCCCCCAGCCCCATGACCCTGCGCCGGACCAGGTCCCGACCTGTCCATGTGACTCTTCTCCAGCAGACACTGTAGAACGGCATCCAGTTGGTTCCGGGCCTTGGCCATCTCCAACTCTAGGTGAGGAGAGTACCAAGCAGGGTTAGTTCCAGGCCCCTGGGCATGCACATCCTCCGCCCTGGCCAATCCTACGGCCAGGTGCAGGCACGCTGACACGGTGCAGTAGAGACACGGAAGTGACGAGCACGAGCTGAGTTCCAGGGCTGTCCCATGTGATCACCAAAGCAAATACCTTACTTACTGAGCCTGTTTCCTCCTCTTGAAAATGGGTCTCCCAGTGATACCTACCTAGTAGGACTGTTGCAAGGTTTAAATGAGCTCATGTCGTATATGAACCTCTTAACAGGATGGAGAAATAGTAAGTAACAGGCACAGAGCACCTACTATGTGCCAGGCATTGTTCCAAGCATACCACACATATTAACCCACTGAAGTCTCACAATAACCCTTGGAAGTAGATTATGATTTTTAGTCCCATTTTATAGATGATGAAACTGAGGCACAGAGATGTTAGGCTACTTGCCCAAAGTGACACAGTGAAGAAATTGCTGAGCTGAGGATTTGAACCCTGGCTGCCTCCAAAGCTGAAGTTATAAGGCAGATACTCCAACTGGGGACAGAATCTGTCCCCAGGCCTGCTTCATTCGGCTGAGGCAGTGGTGTTATTTTAAATCTGAATTAAATCTGAATGAGCTGACAGCATTTAAAAATTGGGAGATTTCCCTAAAATATCCTTTTGTGGGTATTTCCATCTCTGAAAAAGAGTGTAGGCTCACCTTCCTGCATGTCACAGATCTGACTGGCCCTGTCAGCCTGTGGGTTTGCCTCCCTTCGACACAGAACTTAAGTGATGAAGTCATGGATGTTGTCCTCTCACCTTTGCTCCCTCCTTCCGGCTGGCAGGAGCTCTGGCCCCACTGCTCAGAGCCTGGATGGATACCTGGGACATGCCTTGCCAGTCCTGGGACTTCCTAAGGAGCCCAGGAGACACAGGGATTCTCAACATGGCTCAGAGGACAGACAGGGTGAGGGTGAGGGATGGGGGCCACTGAGATTGTAGCAGGGAGCCTTGGGCAGGTGCCAAGGGTATGGATGGTGTCCACAGCTCTGTCCTCAGGCCCAGTTCTCTCCTGAAGCCCAGACTTGGGGATCCATGGCCTCCTGGACACCTCTCCTTGGACACTTCTCCTTGGACATCCCCCAGGTTCCTTCTCCTCACTGGGTCCCACGCTGGCCTCAGTGTCTCTCTAAACTTAACCCTCTTCTTGAACTGTACCCCCAAGGGTGGCTCCACTGTCCCCCAGTCCCTCCCTGCACCCTGCCATAGATACCACCCTCCTTCCCACACCCCTGTCCACCAACCCCATGGCCTGTCCCCTCGGCCCCTCAGTCCCTCTCCCACACACTCCCTCCCTACATTGCCCACTCTGGTCCTGACCTTTCCTTTCCCTGGGCTCCCTGCCTCAGTCTCCCCTTCTGATTCACCCTCCCTAGGTGGCCAGGGGACTCTTCCTAATAAAACCAAATCTGACCCTGATCTTTCCCTGCTTAGAGCCCTTCATAAGTCCCCAGTGGCCGGGGGGCAGCGTCTGCACTCCCCAGCCTGGTGTACACCGGCCTAGCCCTTCCCCCCACCGTCATGTGTGGTCAGGTCCCCTCCAAGTCAGTTTTCTACCCATAGTTTCTTTTGGCTTTTGGGGGACACCTTTATTAACTCACTCCTGAGTTCAAAACCCTCCCTTGGCTCCCCTTTGCCTTAGAGCAAAAGCCAGAGTCCTCACCTGGCCCCACGAGATCTGTCCCCTACCCCATCACATCTTTGCCTCTGCCTTCTCACACTCCCCGCCTCAGTCACCCTGCTCCAACCACACTGGCCTCCCTGCTGTCCCCTGAACACGCCAGACAGGGCTTCCACCCTCGGGGACTTTTCAAAGCTGTTTCTTTTGGCCGAATCGCTGTTCCCTCACCTATCCGCATGGCTGTCCCTCACCTGTCCCATTCCTGATCGCCATAGCTTCTGTTTTGTTTTAATAACACTTATGCCGTCAAGCATTCTACACTGCTTTACCATTATTTTTTGCCCTTCCCATGCCAGGCCTGGCATCCCATCAGCTCTGCCCCAGCCCAAGATGACCTCCTCCTCCTGAGCGTCGGTTTCCCCACCTACCACGATTCCCACTTGCCAGGATTACTGAAACACAGTGACTGGGAAGATTAAAAAACATCCCCTGAGCTTCAGGCTCACTGGCACAACGCCTGACCACGACCGCCGCTGGAAATGGGGAAACCGAGGTGGAGCCAAGACAAGAGCCCTTCTCGGAGTTACCGGCTCAGGGTCCCCGCGTCTCACCGCGCCACTGCCCGGGTCCCCACCGTCCAGTCTCAAAGCTACTTCGAGCACGGCCCAGGAGGGTACGAAGGTGGCAGCAAACTCCAGATGCCTGACACGGCGAAGTCAGGTGGGCTACAGGGAGAAGTCCCGCAGTCCCCTTTTCGCGACAATCCTGTCTCTTGGGGGGACAGGAACAGCCGGGTCTTCCCCTACAGGTCCCCAACCTCGGGGTCCTCACCTGATTTCTCCACTTTCACCTTCACCGGGAACATGGTTTGGGTCCGGGGTCTGGCCAGCTCCAATCAAGGCCGAAGGCGGGCGGGGAGGGGTGAGAGGTAAGCGCCGTGAGCGGCGGACGCTCCGCCTTGGGCAGTGTCCAGCCGCGACCGCCGCCGCCGCCGCCTCCCTTCTTCTGCTCCTGCGGGCACGCCCCCTCGGCAGGAGCTTCTCCCCATTGGTCACTGCAGCCATCAATCTCAAACTCTGACCAATTGACAGCTGCCGCAGGCGGCTCCGGCTTTAACTCCCACCTTCCTGGGGCTCCGTTTCCGGAAGCAAACCGACAACCGTCCCGCTTCCTGGGAGGTGTAGTTCTGCGTCCCGAGACCCACCCGGAGCGACGGCGCCTGCGCCGCGCGGGGCACGGTGGGCGGCGAAGGATCGGGAATCGAGAGGCTTCTCGGGACTTGTAGTGCCAGAATGTGTGGAGTAACACCAATTTAGATATTTACCGGGTTTAACCAACCGTGGGAGTTCCTCCAGTCTCTAAGAAGGAGACCAGTCTGGAGTTAGGCTGGGTCCCCTCTTACTGAGCACTCGCTAGGTGCCACCTACCTGTTACTGTCTTTTAAGGCACAATCTCCTTCATTTAGCGAATATTTATTAGCGTGCCAGGCACCGGGGACACTGCCAGGAACAGAATGGACAAAAATCTTTGCTCTAATGGAGCTTATCTTTTAGAGGAAGGAAAGATAAACAGTAAACATTTTAAGTGAAATGTGATAGGAGAAAGAATATAGCATGAAGGGGACATGGTGAGTGTCAAGATGGGGACTGAATTTTAAATAGATGGTCAAGGAAGGATTCTCTGAGCAAGCACTCTCGAGTGTTTTTATTTCTGCAGAACATGCTTTCTTCAGAGAATGAGGAGACTTCCATTTACCACATATGTCCTGGCCAGATAATCCTAAGAGGTGGCATCATGATCTGTACTTCCCATGAGGGTACTGAGGCCCAGAGTAGGAGAGTCATGTTCTGGATTCACAACTACCAGTGCAGGACAACAGCACCTAGAAATGGAGGCACTATTCCTTGCTTGGTTCCTCATCTATAAAATAGGGTTCCAGAGCAGGAAAACTTCTGTTTTAGAGGATTGTGAATAATATTCAGTGGGAAAATGCACATAATGTGTAGCACAAAGTAAGCACTCCATAAATGTTTTTGAATGTCAATCATTTTATGCTTCAACCCCCAAAAGATCCCAGGAAGTCAATATTGAAGGTTAGAGTCCTTTATTGGGGGATGTCAGCAGAAAACATAAGACATGGGAATAAGTCTTAGGGCAAAGGAGCCTATTCTGGGAGAATGGGAAGGTCCCCAGCCTGTGCACGAGCTGTCAGGGGGTGCCCAGCGGTATGGTGAAGGAGAGGTAGTCCCCCAGGGCACCCCAGCGGGGCCTGTAGATCTGGAAGATGGTGATCCAGGTGGTGAGCACAATGACCCAGAAGAGGAAGCCCACAGCTGAGCGCCAGACATCTGTAATGGGGAACAGGAGTGGGTAGGGGTGGCCTCCAGCTGCTCTCTGGACTCCCCCAGACTAGCCCTTTCTTACCTCCCATAGAGCCCCAGAATCCTGGAGCTACCATCACCCCCCACCACCACCACCACCAAGGTTCTCTGCTTCCCCTTCTCCCCACCCACTGGCCACCCTTCATCTGCACCCTAAACTCACAGCCTTTGATTTGGCTCTGCTCTGTGTAGGCTGGGACAAGGAAGGCCTCTCGGAAGAACCAGAAGATGTTAACCAACCAGAGAAAAGGCAGGAAAGCAAACCCACCTAGGGAGAAAAATAACACACTGGGTCCTAAGGCAATGAGGGTCTTCCCAGACTCCCACCTAGAAGACCTATTTGGAGAAACCTCTCCCACACCCAAGTGCAAATGGAGATCTCTGCTTGACGTCAGGGGCTCCGAAATGCTGGCTCTTCCCTGGGATCCAGGAATCTGATTCCTCAACCACCTTTTCTCAGGATCCAGCAGTCCGTCCCCCAACCTTGCTCCTCTCTTAGGACCCAGAAGTTAAGGCCACAGCTTCCTCCTTCCTCAGGACCCGGGGCCTCCATTGGCTCAGACCCAGGACTCAGTGTTCCCAGCTGCCTCATCTCTTAGACCCACGAATCCAGACCCTAACACCTCTTCCCTCAGGCGCTCTAGTCCAGGTTCCTCTCTTCTTCAGGGACCCTGAGGGACTGGCCTTTACCCAGGTAGTATTTCCGGCACAGGTTCAACTTCTCCTCATTGGACACCCGCTCCAAGTTCATAGTTGCGCTGCGGCTGGGTTGTCCCAAGGGTCTGAGTGGGGAGACCCAAGCCTTGACCCTAAGTGACAGATGCGAGGATCACGAACAACCACGCCCCTATTACGACAAATCGAGACAAATTTAAGGGTGGGTTTGCTGAAACAAGGGCACCCCCCGCCCCCACCAGCTGCCTGGGTTGATAAGCTTTTTATGTTTATTGAGGTGCGCGAAAGGACCCCCAACTCACCAGTGGAGCTTACTTCCTCCGGCTGGGATGTCTTTGCTACTCTCAACTATGGACGTTTGCTCGAGATGCCCAGGGTTTCTCTGGAGTTTGTAGTTTGTTTTTTTTTTTTTTAATGAAGCAGCGCTGCACGCATGCGCTTTCGAGAACGCCTGGTCGGTAATTTTGCAGTGAGGGCGCGGTCCTCCAACACGCATGCGCACTAGGGAGCGTCTGAGCGCGTGATGCGCGGCTAGAGGCTGCAACGAACTACACTTCCCAACGCTCCTAAGCAACGGAAGTGACGTAGAAGCAGACAGAATTGGAGGGTTCGGGTAAAAATGGCTGAATATTTAGCTTCGATATTCGGGACTGAGACGAACAAGTGAGACCGGGCGCAGGAATGTCCTCTCGGGGGGCTGGGGCCGGGACACTTGGGTCCCTGGTGGGTGGGCAGCTCGAGGCGGTGTTTCTGGGGTGTCCGGCCTCTCCGGCCCTCGGTTCACCTCTCTCTTTGCATCTCTTCCAGGGTTAACTGCTCCTTTTACTTTAGGATCGGGGCCTGCCGGCACGGGGACCGATGCCCCCGCATTCATAACAAACCGACCTTCAGCCAGGTGAGACCCGGCACGGAGCCCTCAGGGTTAACGCCCCCAGCCCTCCCCTTCTGCTGTCCATCATCACGAGGTCCCTCATTTTCCGGGTTTATAAGGCCCTCCCTACCGCCTGGCTTTTTCTTTCTGATCAGGCGTCTCTCTGCAGGTTCCTCCCCAGCCTTCAGGCCCTTCTCCCAGGCGCTTGGCCACCCTCCTGTTTGTACAGACGACACTCCTGGGATACACATCATGGCTAGGGATCCTCCAGCCCTTTCTGGTTTCTTAGGGGCTGGTGTTGCTGGTGCACTTATAATGGTTAGGCTCCTTCTCGATGCTTAGGCTCCTTCTCCGGTGCAAGGTCCCACGCCCAACCTCGTGCCCGGCTTTTTTTTGCCTGCAGCCCAGCTCTCTGAGTTCAGGCCCCGCAACTTTGTATTTAAATTCTGTTCAGAGCATATTGCTGCCCAACTTGTACCGAAATCCACAGAACACAGCCCAAACCACAGAGGGATCACACTGTGCATAAGGAATCAGGCCTGGGGACAGGGCAGACAGGCCCAGCAGGCCACCCGCCATTCCACTCTCCTCCCCTCCTCCAGGTCACGTGAGCGACGTGGAGGTGCAGGAACACTATGATAACTTCTTTAAGGTGAGGCTTGGCAGGGGCAGGTAGGTTGGACTTCTTATGGGCCAGGAGCTCAGCCGAGTTCCTCCCGGTCTTCCACAGGAGGTGTTCACAGAACTGCAGGAGGAGTATGGGGAGATTGAAGAGATGAACGTGTGCGACAACCTAGGGGACCGCGTCATGGGCAATGTCTATGTCAGGGTGCTTGCTGACCCTCCCTAGAGCCCAGAGGTGGAAGCTTTTAATGTCTCATGGCCACCACTGAAGCCTCACAGCTTGAGAGGTTCATCACTAAATCCAGTCCAGCCCCAGAGCTGCTAACTAGTTCCCTGAAGATCTCTGAGTTCTGCTGCTGACCCTGACTGACTTCCCCCTCAGTTCCGACAGGAGGAGGATGCAGAGCAGGCAGTGGCTGAACTCAATTATCGCCAGTTCAAGGGCCAGGCTGTGCATGCTGAGCTGTCTCCTGTCACTGACTTCCAGGAGTCATGCTGTCGGCAGTATGAGATGGGGTATGGTGGTATGAGGATGGGATGGGCACTTTGAGCCCCAGACTCTTGTGTGTGGTGGGGGCTGCCAATGACGCTTACCTCCTCCATCTGTCTACCCTTTACCCAGGGAATGTACCCATGGTGCCTTCTGCAACTTCATGCACCTGCGACCCATTTCCCAGAACCTCTGGCAACAGCTACGGGCAGGAACCCAGTAGCAGGTACCTCGGGACCAGCCTGCCAAGACTCCTAAGGCCCTTATACCCTGAGATGAGCCTACCCTAAGTTGCAATAACAGTGTCCCAAGACTCTTGTACCCTAAGAATAGTCCTGAGCCCCATCTGGAGATCACCTGAGTCCCAACCCCTAAACCAGCCTGAACCCCAAATCTAAGACCAGCCTGGATCTCCAACCCCTGATATTAGCCACTGTGTACCTATCCTGAGACCACCTGCTAGAACCCTAGTTATTTCTGCACCTCTCCTGCCCCATCCCAGAGCACAGAGGCAGGCCTCGGGGCCCTTTGCACCACTCCTCACAGCTCTATCCCAACTCTTTCTGCCCCTATTCCCCGGTCACCCCCGAGGTCCTAAACTGGCCACCAACCCCAAGAAAGGAACCAGTGGCATTCCCTATATCACTGTCATGGTTGCTTCTGAGATTCTGGCCCCTTTCCCTTCGCTCCTGACAGGCACAGATGTTCTGGCCAGGACCCTTCTCAAAGTCCTCTTCACTTTCCAGCTCTACCATCCCCAGGTTCTGGGGCTCCATAATGTAGTCTGTTCAATAAAGACCTCCTACCACCCCTGCCCTAATAAAGTTCTAGATTGGTGGTTTAGAGCTTTGTTTTTAACTTGCCGGAGTTTCCTTCCACCCACAAGTCAAATGACGAAAGGGGATGTGGGCTGGCTTTCAGCCATAACTTCTGATGATGAGGAACTTCGAACAGGTTGGAGAACTGCGCAAACCCTTTGGCCCTATTTCTGCATTTGAGGTGGGGGTATACTTGTGCTGGAAACCTCAGTACCTCCCTGAGGCTTCTTCAAGAGGAAGATGCCTGGTTGTGGCAGGTCAGAGGAGTCCTAGCCCAGAGATTAGGGGTAGGAGCTAAGGGAGGTGGCTGGGAGTTGGGAGGGAATCTCCAGGGAGTACGGGGCTAGGTTATTGACGCCCATTGCCCTGAGATGGCAGTGAGTATAATAGTACCTAACACTTAAATTGAGTTTAACATATGTCAGGTGCTGTATTAGGCGTTTTTTTTTTTTTTTTTTTTTTAGACAAACCTCTATGTGTCTATAGGCGTTTTATTTATTTATTTATTTCATGCGAGGTCTCTCTATGTTGCTTAGGCTGGCCTTGAACTGCTGGGCTAAAGCCATCGTCCTGTCTCACCCTCGCCACCGCATCCAGCAATGTGCTTTTCTTTTTTTTTTTTTTTTAGAAACGATGTCTCATTATGTCACCCAGGTTACAGTGCAGTGGCATAATCGTAGCTTACTGCAGCCTCCAATTCCTGGGCTCAAGCGATCTTCCCACCTCAGCCCCTTTCAGTAGCTAGGATTACAGGCACCAGCTACAGTGCCTGGTAACTTCTAACGGTTCTAATTCTCCACAATGCCAGAGGGGCCTGGGAATCCTGCTGCCCCACATAAACTGCGTCCTTCTGCTCGGGCTCCCTGGAAAGTGCGACAGAGGCGCTGCGGTGGAAGTCCCGCGACCAAGGTCCCCTAGGCTTCGGTCCCCAGCTACATGGGGCCCAGGCGCCTCCTCCTGACAGCCGCCGTGCTGCTACTGGCCCTGGCGGCGAGGCGGGAAGCCTCGGAGTACTGCGGCCGCCTTGAATACTGGAACGCAGACAACGAGTGCTGCGGCAGCTGCCTGCAGCGCTTCGGGCCGCCGCCCTGCCCGGGTGAGAAGCGGGGCTGGGTGCACGCTTCAGTCGGGGACGAGCGAGTGGGTGACCGGGAGCTGGGGAACGGCGAGGTGCGGGGACGCGCGGGTGAGGCTTGCGCAGGGGTGCGGTCCGTGGGCCTTTTGCAGACAAGACGGGGATGGCGGCCTGAGCCTGTGGAAGGGCACCGCGTGGGCTACGACAGGGCGATAGCGAGAGGATATGGCCTGAGAGGCGGGGCAGCAGCCGGAGGAAAGAGTGGGCTTTATGTGGGTGGATCCGGGCGGGGCGGCGCGGGGCGGGGCGCAGGACGCGAGGGGAATAAGAAGGGCCAACCAGCGGACTGTGGTGAAACGGGCGGGGCCTGTGCGGGGAGGGGGCGGGGCGTGCGCTGATAGGCTGGGCGGGCACGAGGGGGCGGGGCCCACTGGGATAGGCAGAGGCCGCGCTGGAGCCCAGGTCTTCCACTAGACTACGAGTTTGCGGAAAACTGCGGGTTCGATGACTACGGCGATCTCATAACGCACCCGTTCCGAGAGTGTTCTCCTGGGCAGTGCAACCCCGACGGCGCGGAACTATGTGGCCCCTGCGACGGCGGAACCACGGTCTCCACTCCAGCCACTCCCGCCTTCAGCCGGGGTGGAAGCCGGTTGCGCTGCAGAGAGGTGCCTGTCGGACTCCGAAGGGCGGGGGAGGGTTAGCCGGAGGTGGGTCGGGGGTGGGAGGGCACGGTTTGAGATCGGAGGGGTGGGGTCTGGATCTAGGGATAGGGTGTAGCCCCATTTAAGAGGGTAAGGGTGGGCCATAGCAGTATCAGGTGGCGAACCTTAAGGGGTTGGGCTGGGGGCCTGGATCAGGCAGGGGACGTGTCCCCATCGAAGGATATAAGGGATGAGAGGTTTGGGCTGAGAGGGCAGGAGTGGAGCGTGGCCTCCGCTTTACTCCGACCTCCTATTCCCAGAGGCCGGTCCCTGCTAAGGGGTACTGCCCGCTGACACCTGGAAACCCGTGCGCCCCCAGCTCCCCAGCGAGTTCCAGTTCCTCAAAGACATCTGAGCGCGATGCCTCTCAGGAGGCTTTGCCGAGTTTTGTCCTGCCCTTGGTCTTGCTCCTGCTCCTGACCTGGGCAGTGATAGTGATCCTCCTGCTGGCTCTGCGGATGCACCTCTGCCGGCACAAGGGTAAAGCTGTCCCCTTTCCCCCTCTTGGTTCGGTTTGTGGAGGCCCCAGTGCCCACACCCTCTCCTCCTTGCTCTCTCCCCCAGGTGCCCTGGAGGCGTTGGAGACGGGGAAGGCAGGGAAGGTCTCTCTGCTTCCACTCCAGAGCAAGGGTTAGTCAGGAAGGCACCCGGAAGGGGGAGGTGGACTGGAAGCCCGCCTTCTCCCCCTTTACTCATCCCTCCATCTCCCAGAGCTGCCCAGCCTGGCGTCACAGCCCCTGTCGCGCCTCCTGGATGAGCTGGAGGTGCTGGAGGAACTGATTGTCCTGCTGGACCCTGAGCCTGGGCCAGGTGGGGGCATGTCGTGTGGCACTACTCGACACCTGGCCGCAAGATATGGGATGCCTGCTACCTGGTCCACCTTCACCTACTCACTGCGGCCAAGTCGCTCACCGCTGCGGGCTCTGATTGAGATGGTGGTGGCAAGGGAGCCTTCTGCCTCTCTCGGCCAGCTTGGCGCACACCTAGCCCAGCTAGGGCGGGCAGATGCGCTGCAGGTGCTGTCCAAGCTTGGCTGAGCTGGGGTTTGCTAAGCCTAGTACTCAATAACATTTCTTTTGAAATAAATGCCTGTCTCTGCTCCTCATTAAAGGGCCTTGAAGTATCTTTTTCTTTTTTGACAAAAGACAGGGTCTCGCTCTGTAGCCCAGGCTGGAGTGCAGCAGCACAATCATAGCTCACTATAACCTGGAACTCCTGGGCCCAAGCGAGCCTCCCACCTCGCTTCCCAAGAAGCTAAGACTACAGGCCACCACACCCAGCTAATTTTTAAATTTTTTGGTAGAGATGGGGTCTTGCTATGTTGCCCAGGCTAGTCTCTAACTCCTGGCCTCAAACAATCCTCCAACATTGGCCTCCCAAAGTGCAAAGATTACAGGCAGGAGCCACCACACCAAGTATAACCTTACTTGGGCCCCAAAGACATTCCCCTTCCTCCCAGGAGAAGGGCCCATTCCAACATACACACCTGACATGTGGGAGAGTTGGCCCTAGATGCCTCTGAGCAACCAGAGTCTCCTGAGAAACAGCCCTGCTAGCCCTGGGAGAGCACATTCACAGGCACTCAGCTGTGTTCTGAGTTGGGAAATGTCGAACATTTATTGTTCTGAAGCCGTAACAGTCCCCACAATTTACTTCTAATTCTGAATGACGGCCTCTCACCTACCTGCTGAGGCTGACAAACTTCCTTGGCTCAGGATGAGCGTGGGGTGTGGAGAAGTGAGGGCTCCTTCTTGCCCCCAGCACCCTACAAATGGGAAGACAACCTCTCCAAACATTGACAGACTTTATTGTGGGGGGTTCCCACCTGGGACCCCACCCTCTTAAATAAAAAAGTGCATAGAAAAGAAGGGATTTAGAAACCTTTGTACAATATCTACATCCTGGGCCCCCAGGGCAGGAAGGGGGCGATTGCTGGGTGGGCTGGAGGGGTGGAGGCAGGGCCCTTGCCACCTGCATGCCCACGATCACCCTGAACATGAGGGTGGGAGTGAGATGCTCTGGGAAGGACTAGGAAATCCCCAGGCTGGGGCAAGATGGCAGCAGGAGGTGTGCGGGTCGTGGTGGGCGGCCACGGCCTCAGTTAAGGAATCGACGGCAGCGCTTGGCGCCACAGTTGCAGGGCAGCTTGTTGCTGGCATCCTCGATGGGGAACTTGTAGTCATAGGTGAGCTCCTCACCACGCAGGATGCGGCGCAGGGCGAAGATGACAATGTGTTTCTGGCCCTCCACGTGGATGACACGAGAGAAGCAGTTGGGCTCACACGAGTGGTTGATGAAGCGGGCTGCATTGCCATGCATGGTGGCATCCACCACGTCAAAGTCATCCATGCGAAACATGTAGCACCCGATACCCTACAGGGGTGGGGTGGCAGGAATCAGGTGATCTGTCCCCACCGGCTGGCCCCGCTTCCCCCACCTCATTCCCACGGTGAGCCCACCTTCCCATCGTAGAACTTCTCCCGTTTGTCAGTCAGCACAGAGCGAATGACAATACCAGAGTATTCAATGACCATCTCGCCAGCATCGATGTTGCGCTTACAAAACAGGCCTCGCCCGTGGATGGCTGATCTGCAGGGTAAGACAAACAAGGGGACCTCAGGGGACAGGGGGCAGAAACCAGGCAGCCCCTCACCAGCGTACTTATCCATCCACCCAAGGGGCATCCTCCCCCCAACCCCACTAACCTGTAGACACCCACAGCCTCTTTGGACGTCTTCTTGAGGTGACGAAAGCGCATGGCCATGGGCAGCTCCAGGCTGGTGGCACGTCTGGTGAGGAACAGCAGTGCCACACAGGCTAGTACCCCAAGGATGACCCTTCTCACCCCTGGTCACCCTCCTTAGGACCCTTCCAGACCACCGCCAACACCCCAGCTTGCCTCATCATACCTGGTTGACCTGAGCTGCACCTCATCTTCCTCCTCATCACAGGCGGCCCCCTCAGGGAGCACCCGGTGCTGAGAGGCCAGGAAGTTGAACATGTCAAAGGTGCATTTCCTGCAGGCGGGGGAAGAAGGGAGGGAGGCTCATTGCCATTCCTTCAAGGAGGTGCTGCCTGCCCATTCTTTGATCTGGGCCTGCCTTGGGTAGGGTAGGAGGAAGACGCCATTGAAGACACAGCAAAAGGGGAAATGGGTGGGGTTCATTCTTCTGAAGTAAATCTAGAAATAATTCTTGGAGTGGCCTAGTGTCTCCTTCCCAGGCCTCAGTCTCCAATCTGTACAGACTTAATTCCCACCCTCGAGGCCTCCCATGGGGCTCTCCTGACCTAGGCATCATACCCCAGACCTCTCACCGGAGATAGACCTCGGCGCGGGCAGCCCCATGGGGATTCAGGGGCGGCTCCTCCTGGCCCTCTCCCTGCTGGTGGTAGCGGAACTTATAGTGCTGACAGCGCTGGGCCCCGGGTAGCTGCTCTGCCAGGAAGATGACCGCATCATGGTGGATGCCCAGGAGCCTTGCCCCACTCATTCCTGAGGAGAGGACAGGAGGACACACCAGTCACGTGGAAGGCCCATCTTGCCCTCGGGGAGTCGTCCCAGCCCCCCAGGATCCCTGTGGACCCATCGCTTACCACTGAAGGAGAGGTGTCTAAGCCGGGCGTGCCCTCGGGCCTCTTGCACCTTCTCAATCAGAGTTCTCCACGCCCCTGGGGAGAGGGCAGGGCCAGAACACAGTCAGGATGTTGTTGTGTGGACGCTTCCTCTCCCTGCCTCTGCTCCTTCCAACTCACCTTCCAAGCTCTCTGCCTCCACGCTGAACCCATCCTCGCTGCTGATCTCGAAGCGCAGATGTGGCCCAGCCCGTTTTGGGGCCTGGTTCTCTTTATCCTCTGGAGATGGAGGTTCTTCCTCAGAGCTTGAAGCCTCACCTGGTCCCAAGGTCAGAGTAAGAGATCACCCTCCCTGGACTCAACAGCCCCCTGCTCCCCACTGTCCTGTCGGCAGACAACACTCTCCTCCCCGCAGGCACAGGCACACACGCTGGGATCTAATGGCCTCCTCCTCCAATTGCCCAGTGAGTCCAGCAGAATGGACGTTATTTTTCCTAAGGGGCCTGCAGTTCCTTTTCTGCAGGACTTCTTGGCAGAAGAGCACTCCATGGAGGCTTGGCGTGTTCTGGCTCTGCAGGGCACACCTATGGCTCACTCAAACCTAGTCTACTACCCATCATTATTCTGTTTCTCATCCAAAATTAAAAATACTGGAGAATTATATTTTGTACATGTTTTTTGATAAGCAGCAAATTTCTGTTAGGTATTACATATGTATTATACAGGCTCATATGTACAGAGCCAAGTACACCATACCTTATGAGCTCTGTAAGGGATTTCTCAAGGGTTAACAGATTTTAAAGACATAGCGGACAGGATTTGCCGATGTGTATATGTAGATGCGAGAGAAAGGCGGGGTGGGGGGGTTGGTTAAGGACAACTCTGAGGTTTGGGGCTGAACAACCGGAAGGACTGCACTGCCACTGACTGAGATGGTGAGGGCAAGGGAAGAATGAGTTTGGGGTGAGGGCCGAGGGCTCAGTTTGAGCCATGCTGACTTTGAGATAACTCTTAGAAAGCCTCCCCTGCAGCATGCTAGGAGAGGCGGAGCAGGCAGCAGGACGCAAGAGGCCGGAAAGAGCAAGGTGGAGACTATGGGAACACACGTGGGATTTGGAGCCACAAAGCTAGAAGAGAGCATCTGGAAGGGAGTGTAGATAGAAGTCAAGGCCAGGGCCCTGGGAGACGTCAAAATTGACAGGCTGAGACATTGAGGTGGCATAACCAGAGAGGTGAGAGGAGAATGTGGAGTCCTGGAAGCCAGTGAAGAAAGTGCTTCCAGGGAGAGAGGGATCCGCTGCACCCAGGGCTGCTGGTGGCTCACGCGGGTAGTAGGCTGAGGACTGACCATTGTATTTGGTGGGGGAGGGGCACAAAAGTCTGAGTGGAACATGCTTTAGGACAGACAGGACTCACATGGCCACACTTTCCCCACATCGCTTCTCTGAGTCAACCTGCCCATACACCCTCCCCAGCAATCCTCGAAATTGGACTCTTGGTGTGTGACTCACATCACCTCCAGGCCTCAGTGCCCCAGAGTTCACCTCTAGCAACTTCTTCCTCTGCTCTTACCCCCCTTCCCACCCTCACCTCCACTCTGAACACAATGGGACTGTTACAGTGGCCTTGCCCAGGCACTCTTGTGGCTGGCCTTCTCACACAGCTCACTAATCTGCTGTGCACTTGCTGACACACGTGTCTACTTCCCCTCCTACAGTGTGGTGTGGTCCTTAAGGGTGACAACCTCTCTGCCATGGTCACTGCCATATCCTCATGCCATCTCTGACCCCAAAAGCAGCCTCTCAGTTAAGCAGTCTCAGTCCACCTCACCCCATTTCCACACTCAGCTGCTAAACTCCATGTAATAAGAAAATCCCCAACATCTGGACAGGATCGGGCCACAACAAATTGAGCCTCAGGCTGCTCGACACCTAACTTACCTGGCTGTCGCTCACTCGCTCTCCCTCTGTCCTCAGTGACCAACAGAGACCTTCACTCCCAGCCTCGTTGAGTGCATCCAAAATGGCTCCAATACCTCCCCACCCTGCGTATTACGGTCTCTGCACATGCACCCGCCTCACCTCCTTCCCTGTTCAACACCGGCCACCACGCCTCCTCCCGTGTCCTTTGCCACCCACAACCACCCTTCCCCCTCATCTTTGGCTCTGCTGTCTCAGCCCTCACACCAAACATCTCTAACCTGCCGCCCCTCCTCCTCCTGATCCTTAAGCTGAACTTTCTGGCGAGGTGCCTGGGTTGTTTTGGCTTCCTTAACCACTGTCTTCAATTCTGGACTCTGACACAATATCCTCCCTACCCACTCTCTGTGGCAGCTGGGACTGCTGACTACACCCTTCTCCTGGCCTCTGGGACACACTCTCTTCTCCTCTTCTTTCCATTGTTCCTGCCCCTCATCCGGGTCCTAGGTAGGCTCCATCTTCTCTGGAAGATCCCAGAACTTCATCTTTGGCTTTACCAGGTACCCAGCCTTCTGACCCTGGCAGACTCGGCATCTCCGTAACTCTAGTGCCC